AGTTCATCATGGGCTCCCTGTGGTTACATTTGAAAATAATGGCAATTGACGATGACGGTTATCTGTGCATAGTTATGTGCTTAAATGCAATCGCGGTTAGTTGTAACATTACCTGCAGTAAATCACAGTCCCTCTATCATGATAGAGGGACTGTGAGTAAATGTATGCAGATGACACAAACTTACCTTTCCCGTGGCCGCGGCCATGTTGTTAAACCATGTGCGCAAAGGTGCTGCGCACTAGCATTTACCTTAGTCTTGTACGTACTACTTTCCCGTGAAATAAAGATTAATAGAAAATCAAATAAAATAGCGACAATGACCTCAATTACATATTAGTCTGCCTATTGGGAGTTAAAACAATCCATTATACAACTTTAATTGTGAGAAATTATGACTTTACTTCAACTTTAAAATAAAATAGGGGTTTGTGGGTATATGATTTGTTGAGACTGTGGTAAGTTAAGGTCCAAAATGGCGGCGTTACGGAACGGTGTCTCGCATTGTCGGACGTTTTTACGAGTGTACCCAAACGTAACAACGCCAAAGGTTTGTAGTTTTTGCTTACAACTTGTCTCGAATAATGAATGAATTCTCTCCCCGGAATCTGTGTATGACGATTGAAACATTTAATTCGAAAAAAGGCGACCGGCATTTCACGACCCGGTGGAAGGTCAATACAGTCACGTAGACTCGTAGTAAATGCAAGTCAATGCAAATATACTTCTCTGCACGTGTCACAATATTGAATGGTAAAGAAATATCGAAATATTCTGTCATTTAGTGTGTTCTATTGAGAGTATTTTGGATAAATCTCGTTAATTAATATTAGAATTACTAGTACTGTACATAGTTTTGAGAATATGAACTCCATGACCTGTCACCTTATTGTCTTCAAAATTTCATTTGCATAACTTGCCATAAGCCATAATTGTTGTAAAAACAAAACACGTTCTGATGTTAATTTTTTTTTATATTATTTAACAACCTTGATTAATCGCATTTTCTCACAAACACCCAAATAATAACTTGCATCATGTTCGCTTCATTACAGAACAAAACTTACTCTTAGGGGTGATCTCATATTCAAACATGCGGGTCAAACCTACGAAAACCAAAACCGCCCTAAACCACCCAAACAAAACCCAGTTTTGCGGTTTGGAAGTTTAAACAATAGACAGTGAGGTTCAGGACGACCGCACGAATTTACATAAAAACTGTGGTTCGAACCGATTTCATTCTCACCTCATTCAAGCTGTTTATTTTTAGGATTGACAGAGTTTACATTGCTTTTTGCTTACCGTGTGCCTTGCCTAAAAAAACACTTTTATATATCTGTGAACAGCGTGCTGAATAAATTGTTTTGTTTTGATAAACTGTTATGCTCGAGTCGCAAATTGAGCAGAGGACGTGAATCAGACTTCATTGGGCTGGACAATTGATATGTGTCTCTGACAGCTATTAAGTATCAAAAGACGAACATTTGTTGATACAAAGTTGCACTTGAGACATACGCTACTGTGTTCAAGCCTTTACTACTGTTGCGCGTTCAATTTTCAAACAGTTCTTTCAGGAGTGCGGCATCGCAAAATCCGGAAAAACAAATGCAGCGTACGATCTGCTGCACATCGGTTATTTGCAGTTTTTCTTATTCAATTTCCAGTGACACGAAGTATCAAAACAGAAAATTAAATTAAATGGACTTGCGCTGATTATTTACGGCTATTCATCTGCAGACGAGACTGCTTATAAAAAACGAACACTGACCTCTGAAAATACCTTATTCATAGAGTGCCTTGTACCGTCGCCCAAGGCGACACAGTGCACATTGCGATATCGCAGTCGATGCATGCTGGGTGACAAAGGTAAATTCTGATTGAGGTAACCAAGATGGCTGCGTTGAGTGCATGATTTTCTGCGATGTTTAAAACAACACCTCGCTGCCTACTTCGCCCACAGTCCCTCAAGGCACTGTGCTTCGATGTATTTTCTAAAATAATCGTTTATTTTTAATTAACCGTGAGTTCGAAATGTGTGCATTTTGTCACAGAAAAGCAAGATATCGGCAGCGGTAAATACCCGTAATTTCCCCGCAATGCCGTCAGCTGACAATGTTATGGTGGTCGTAGCGCCGGAGTCGTAGCATTAGCCCCGACTTTAGTTTTGACACAGTGATAGAGGGACTGTGGTTTTCAGATGCTTTCGTAGAAAAACAATGTTGCCATTATTGATTTAATACTTTCATCATATTTTGATAACTCGAAGTCTCACAGACTTTACAAACTTAACCAAAAAATGTGTTCTATGCATTTATGAACTGACATGGACACAAAACTGACCGTACTTGTTGCGGACAAAATGTACCAGTTCGCTCCATGGATAAACATATTTTACTGACTATGCCAAATATATATATATAACGTAAGTAATTTATCCCAAGAAGCTGCTCATTAAAATTCTAGTGCATCTTTTCCCTGTTCTGTTTCAAACATTAATTTGCCATATACTGTGGAATACTTTATTTTCGCTGGAATTAATTTTCGCTGAAAAGGCTTTTTGGGCGTTTTGTATGGAATTTATTTTCATTGATTTTTGATGAGTTTAATGTGAAATATAGAAAAAAAAGTATATTCGCTGGATTTTATTTTCACGGAATCATCCCTTCAGCGAAAATAGCGAAAATAAATTCCAAGCGAAAATAAAGTATTCTACAGTATATCACAATAGAAAGGGTTTATGGTATCACTTGATTCACATTTAATGACAAAATATCACAAACCATCACGTCTGTAATTAATTCCAGATAAATTGAATAACAATAACAATTGTATTGACTTGTACCAAAATGTAAGTTGTGGGAAACAGATTATTATTACCAATCACAAAAATAAATATAATTTTCATCACACTTATAAATGACATGATGAAAATAGATTTGTGAAACAAATGCAAGTTTGTTTTTATTAGCATTTACATGTACAAGACTTGCAAAGAAAAAAAATCGCTGCTGTAATTCTTAATACTTCAAAATATAACACTCGGTATGAACATGGAGCTCCATAGTATACATCTTATTTTTTTTCCTACTGAAACCAGGCTAAAACAGTATTGTATTGTTCTGTTGTTTGTTTTCAGTGGGGGCGTTAATGGGCAGTTAATCCAGAGGTTAGGTTCAAACCTACTACTAATTTGCATATTGTAGGTCTAGTAGGTCTGAATAGGGCAGGCCGGGTTTACCCAGGTTAACCCAGGTTTGACCCAGGTGTTTGAATATGAGATCACCCCTTACATGTAGTCTTACTAGTCTCTATGATTTCCCAGGCCCCAAA